GTGACCAAAAGTGTACGCGACAAGATCTTGCAGATAAAAAGGAGAGAAATGAAAAACAAAAAAAAAAACAAGAATTTATTAATGTACTTGCTGATACACAGTTAGACACACTAGAATGATTAGAATTATTGCCTTACATGAACAGCAATAAGCAACAATTCAAAAGGAATTCTGTAGAATCACATATGACACAATGCCATCAAACGAGAAACAAGACCTGGTTTGACATACACATGCCAGCATATGCATACATCCAATTCGGTCGTAATCAACCCATATCGTGGCATTTTTTGTACGATTAAATCGGGCTTGAATTTGTTTTGTTGTTCTTGTGATTCATGCATAATTATTAACTTAATAGGGAAAAGGAAAAATGACCGTTTGAGGGTCCACAGGATCAAGATAATGAAATGGATACGTGACAAACAGTCAGACTACTTTGAGAAAGAAAGATGGGGGGATAAGCCTTTATTGACTGATGTATAAAGTTTGAAAAGTGAGGTACATGATAGTGCATTCGTGCCTTTGCAAAAATGCAATGAAGTGGGATTTACGAAGATAATAATGCAATGCAAACACGAGCATGTAAGATGGACCATATCATAGTTTTCACTTGAAGTGATAAACTTGTTACATTATGAAACAATATCAGATTGTCATGCACGAATGTTTCATCAAAACAGGTTCAATTCAAAATCAAATCCTAGAGCTAGAGCATGACCATTTCTAAGAATCATGATTAAGATGACATCATTGAGTCGTAGTAATGGTTGCAGTGCCACTTTTTCCAAAGTATGTATATACGATATTTCGTATTTGTGAGGTGGGCGCGGGTGTGGACCAAAGTGAGTGGCCAACCCACACTCCTGCAAAGGTAATATCGCTTCACATGCATCCCAAGGATACCATAAATTAAGATCAGTATGCTGTACTATACTATACACTGTACCGTATGATTAATAATTACATACATTAATAATACGGGCAAACTTAAGCCAAAAATATTAATGTTACTTGTTCTCTTCCCATCCAATTTCAAATTGGGGTGGTGAATTCAATTCGCAGCACGGGTTCTTCGTGCATTCTCACTCTTCTGCAATGATTTCGTCGCAGGGAGTAATGGGTGACAATTTATTGCTGTGTTTTGTTCAGTGAATTTTGTTTGATCTTCTGTGTTTCTTTTTCTTTAATTTCTATCACATGACATAACATTGGTTAGTTAATACGAAATAATGCATATATATATATATATATATATATATATATATATGTATGTATGATATATCCTTAACCAAGAGTTCAAGTAATCAGTTGATCAGACAAAAAGAAGCATCCATGGCAGAGTTTACGATGTCGTCTGCATGCTGCTTCAACTTTCTGCTTTGTTAGCAGAAAAGAAAACTAAAAGAAATAAAATGTTCTTGATTTGCGGTTGCACAAGCTTTAACACAAAGAGAGGATGCTTTTGACCATCTACCTTTAAGATGTTTTTTCTATTATCATTATTATTAAACGGTGATAAAAGAAAAAAAAGAAGAAGAAATATTATTGTCTTGGATTCATCTTATAATCTATTAATTTGCAATATCATCTATGCATCACAAACTTTCCTTTAATTAACTATTTTTGGCCTCCGAAAGGGGACATCATTTAAGATTGAGTTTGTTTATAAATTGCAAATGTTACTAGTTTTTATATAAAAATTTAATTCATTGGATTTTTTAAATTTCAACAATAATTCCATTTTTACACACAGCCTTGCCATTTTGTCCCAAGAAACGGATATGAAAGGCAACAATAATAACAAAACCAAAAGATACACTACCATGAATATTGGGTCACGAGTAACACTTCATTACCTACAATATAACTTTTCATCTGTGATTCGTCGTAATTTAATATTTATTTATTTTTACCAATTAATTTCTAAATGTACTAATTGATAATTTTATATTCTTAATTATTGTAAAAGATAATTACTGGACGCTTACAGATGCATTTTGATTTAAAATTTTGATTCATATATTGCAATTTTAGCATTTCAAAATGTGTGTATCCAATGTCCCAAACATTCATATGTGGAGACGTGGAAGTTAAGCCTGATTGCTGTTTCAAGTAATCACTTAGGTTTCGCTCATTTGAATGAATTTGAGAGAGGGTAATTGAATGAATTTGAGAGGATTTGAAAATAAATTTTTTGTTATTTATTTGAGTGGATTTGGAAATAGGTGAGAGTGGATTTGGAGGTAAATTTTTTTTAATCTGTCACATCAATCAAATCCTACACTAATTTTTACCCTCACTTACCTCCAAATTCACTCTAATAAACAACAAAAGAATTTATCTTCAAATCCTCTCCAATTCTTTCAATCACTCTCCCCTACTCTCAAATTCATTCAAGTGAACAAAGGGTTAAACATTTAAAGTTTGAGGCATTTTATATATTTTAAACTAACTTTTTTTATCAATATTAAACTAATGTTTGAGTTAACCTTATTTTAAACTATTTTTCTTCGCTTTAAAAAACTCAGATCGAACATAATAAAAAAAAGAGTATTTTTTTTTCTGATCAACAAAAGTCTAAAAACCATAATTTTTTTGAGAGCTAATTATTAAAGCAACTTCTAATTTTTAAAAACAAAAGAGAAATTAAAATAAAAGTTAACACACGTTACCTACGATGATAATGTCAATGATTTAATCATAATACTTAGCTCATTAATAAATACTCATTTAACGCCGTGCTTCATGCTGTCTTCTTGTGCATTATTGCTTCCACTTTCATAAATCCAAAACTTGGTTTCCAATAACATGAAAACTGTTTCTATACATAACATGTTTGTCACTATTGACTATAAATTTCAAAAACATTATTTGTTTTTATTTCTCAGCTTTCATCTAATCAAAGCATAATATTCATCAAAGTGAATTAAAAAAAATCTTGAATGAGATAGGATTAAACCTTAAATATAAAAGCGAGGTGTGATAATTTATTTAAAAACTATTGAAATTGTTCACACAATTTTAGTATACACACGTATGGGTCAAGATTATATTACTTTATTATGCATTAATACTGAATATGGATATAAACAAAGTTCCACATCCAATAAAATATAAGAGATGGACATGGATTTATATACACCTAAAATACCTTTATTAGTAAGAGGTCTTTTGGAGTGGTATCAAAAGAAAATCCGTAAAGGTTGAAAGCGGACAATATCTTACCAGTGTGAAAATCTATGTGTATGTATATGTTGAACCTCCCATTATTAGTGACGAGACAGAAAAATGATCTTATTTAGACTATTTATAACATTATTTTTTAATTAATTTTAAACTCTTAAAAAATTATAATTCATTAAATTTTGATTACATATTTTATATTGTTATTTTTTCATGCAACCTATATTATACGATCAATTTTATTTATATATTTACAAATTTCGAAAAAATAAATAAATGAAGTATAAAGAATATAAACTTAACTAAATATTCTATTTTTAGGGTGTTAATTTGTGTAATATTTAAAATTTGGTGTATCATGCTAAAAATGATTAAAATAAGTAATAAGAGTAATAAATTTAAAATAATAAGAATAATATAAAAAAGTATTTAAAATTATAAACAAAATAAACTATCATACATCAATATCTTGAAATATTAAATTTAAAATACTAAAATAAATATTATAATAAACGTAACGATTAAAATAATCAGTTCAACATAAAATATTCAATAATAATAATAATAATAATATAAAACGAAACTAGGATAATACTAGTATCAAATGTAATAAGATAATATTTATAAAATACTTAAAAATGAAGTATATTATTTTTTTATATGGAAAATACATAATCATTATACAAGGTAATAATTATAACAAACTAGTTAATGACAAAATTGAATAGAAAAACTTAATTGAAAAATATAAAATTTGTAAACACTTAATAGTATAATAATTTTTAACAAAAAATTATTAAAGATGCGAAAATTTAAGGAAATTGTTAAAACTTAAGTAATTCTTATACGACATAATTATATATTAATTTATACATACTTAACGATAATGTAGTATATGAAATGATTACTTCTTTTAAATAAATATAAATATTTAAAAATATTAGCAATTAAATATAATTATTGAAAATACACTTTAAGGTATATTTGAATTAAAAATGTCCTAGAATATAAGTGAAGTTGAAATGAGTTATTATGAAGAGAAGTTTTAGAAGGAAAAATATGCGGAGATAATCTTGATATATATATTAAAAGAAATAACACGGTGCATAGAGTTATTAAAATGTTATGCGACAGTAGATAATATAGTTTTTTAATAGAAGAAAGAAAAAGTGAGAATTTATTAAAGTTTAAGCAAAGAGAATAGAATAGATGGTTTTGGAAATAAGTTTAGAGGGTGAAGAAAAGGTAGTGGGTTCGTCAGCAGAAGGCCTGGTGCCTGAGCTAACATAAACAACTTCTTCAAAAGCTTCGTTGCGACACCTTTTGCTCCTCACATTTCATACAATTGATGCCTTCTTACCACCACTCCTTCCAAACACAATATCTCATATCTCAACCATCAAATTTTAATCCAATGCTTCCTCGCATCAAATCTAAGGATTCATTCACTCCCAAACATAGCCTATCACACAGAATATTAATATTTCAGGAATCTTCACTGTTCTCTTTTAACATATTTTCTTCCTAGGATCAACGCCCTCTCATTCAGTAAAAAAGATTCCATTTCTATTTCTATATACATTCTCTCAATTTATAAACACAAAATCGACAACTTTTAGATACTGTAACTTTCGTCGCTCAAATATTGGCTTTAATTGTTTCGGTGCAAGTTTTAGTTAACAAGTCATTCAATTAATTTAGTAAAAGTGATTTTGTAAAAAATCCTAATTGGTTGTTGCTCCACGTCACCGTTTGCTCTCGCATGTGCAAGATACCATACCAAAGCCAACATAAGCAATATAAAAACCCCACTTCATCACAAACCCACACACTTTCAAAAACTCTCACACCTACATGTTATGATACCCTGCACCAACCATGAATGCTCCTACCACCGTAACCGCCATCACCACCACACCGCCGAGTAGGGATGAACCCGACTACGACAGCAGCTCCTCCTCCATCACCGTGCCGGAATCCAGCCGGAGCTGGATGACCAACCTCAGCTTCGGCAGCCGCCGCCGCCGGAGCTCGGTCTCCGTGTGCTCCTCCACCCTGGAGAGTCCGCACGCGAGGCCCCACAAGGCGAACCAGGCTGCATGGGAGGTCATGCGGCGGCTCCGTCGCGACAAGGGGCAGGTCGGTCTGGAGCACTTCCGCCTGATGCGGCGGCTGGGGAGCGGCGACATCGGGAACGTGTACCTTTGCCAGATAAGGAACCCCGTGGTGGGGTTGCCGCAGTGCTTTTATGCGATGAAGGTGGTGGACAGAGAGGCACTTGCGATACGGAAGAAGCTGCAGAGGGCGGAGATGGAGAAGGAGATTCTCGCCATGCTTGATCACCCCTTCTTGCCTACTTTGTACACTGAGTTTGACGCTTCTCATTACTCTTGCTTGGTCATGGAGTTCTGCCCCGGTGGCGACTTGTACGCTGCACGCCAACGCCAGCCCGGGAAGCGCTTTTCTATTACATCCACTAAGTAAGCACTTTTTCTTATCTCCTTTCTTACCCTCTTTTTTAATCATGTTTCTGATACAAACTTTTTATTACTTCACTCATCACTGATCCGACCCTCTCTACTTAATCATGCTTTTTAATTCAAGTGTAGAGAATCCGAAGCCTTATACCTTCTCTCCTTTAAGAAAGTTTCAACTTATTTTTAGAGAACGGTGTTTATTCTTTTATCAACTTTTTAATATTGCATTTGAAAAATAAGTAATTATATCAGAGTAATCAACCACTAACAATTTTACATGGTAATATTTTAAAAGTTAATATAAGACTTGTGAAGTGATTTATGGTTGAATGATCAATTCTGATGAGGTGCTAACGTCGGGGTAAATTTGGAAAACACAACACAGGTTTTATTCGGCTGAGACGCTATTGGCATTAGAGTATCTTCACATGATGGGCATAGTGTACAGGGATTTGAAGCCAGAGAACGTGCTTGTGAGAGAGGATGGACATATTATGCTTTCAGATTTTGATCTTTCACTCAAATGTGACGTTGTGCCGAAGCTGTTAAGGAGCAAGACGAGAGTGGAACGCAGTATCAAGAGTACAAAGAGATCAGTGCCAGCCTGCACTGCCCCCATGCAGCCTGTGCTGTCATGTTTCTTGGCATCAAGCAAGAAGAAGAAAGCGACAGTGACAACAGTTATAAGAGAAAATGTTGAGGTGGAAGAGCTTGATCCGGAGCTGGTGGCTGAGCCTATCGATGCCAAGTCGAAGTCATTTGTGGGGACACACGAGTACTTGGCACCAGAAGTTATCTTGGGGCAAGGACATGGGAGTGCAGTGGACTGGTGGACGTTTGGGGTGTTTTTGTATGAGATGTTATACGGGAGAACACCCTTCAAAGGTGAAAATAATGAAAAAACTCTTGTCAACATTTTGAAGCAACCATTGGCTTTCCCCAGAATCGCAGTTAGCAGCAGCAAGGATTATGAAGAGATGGTGAAAGTTCAAGACCTTATAAGCAAGCTCTTGGTGAAGAATCCAAATAAGAGAATTGGAAGCTGTATGGGTTCTGTCGAGATCAAAAGGCATGAGTTCTTCAAGGGTGTAAATTGGGCCTTAATTAGATCAGTTAGGCCTCCTGAAGTCCCCAGTGATATGAACAAAATTAGGAGTAGTAGGGTTTTGCTACCAAAACTAAGCAAAACAGACAGGGATCAGCCATATCAGCTTAGAACTCATCATTTTGAATACTTCTAACGGCAATAAATGTAAATAGATTAGCAAAAATAGGATTTCCCGCAAATATGTGTTTGCCATTAAAGAATTTAAGGGCTCTTTTCCCCTTGTTTTCTGTTTTTTTTTTCTTTTTTCTATGTACCGATGAGAGAAAGAATTAGAAAAAGTAGTATATGTATGACCAAGGCACTATGCATTGAACTCGCAGTTTATTTCTCATTATAATAATATTGATATGTCTCTACCAATAAAATTATCAGTAGTTGAGGATTTGTAGGTGTAAAAAAAGTGGGATCCCATAATTGTCCTAATGTGATTCTCATGAAAGCTTAAGAAGTCATGTGATGACAATAATTACACTTCTCATTGATGAGAAAATTGCAGGGAAGAAAAAGATGAAAATCGCTTTATTCTAACAATACTTTATAACATTGTATACCTTTTTCTCGTATGGCTATTTTCACATCTGCGCATTCACATGTCCTTTTCACCGAACGAACAAAAGAAAGAAAAAAGAAAACGTATTTTTTGTCATTGTTTTTTGGTAAAATATTGTAAAATTTAAATTGTGGTGATTATCTACTACCCTTTATAATAAACTAAGGTTCTTAAAGCTTACTTGAGTTTTCATGATCATTGGGTTACATTGTTTTGGAGAGAGAGATGCTAATTTCTGAAATCAGGGGTAATGAATGTCTGAAATTTGTTAATAATATAAGTAGAGGCGATTTGGGAATGTGTTGCTAACAGTAATGATGAGGTGAGAGGGGAATAAAAGGATTGTAGGCAGTGTGGACCATTTTGAATGCAGTGAAAAATTGACAGCAATAATTTGATCTTAACATTTAAACCAAAGAAAACCAATCAAAATTCAACAGGAATCCTTTTCTTACCTAAAGTATCAATAAATCAAATACCTACAATGAGTCAGTGCATTATGGATGACAACCCAAACTTTGGTGCTCTCTTCCATGGCAGCTCGAATTACAATAAGCCTTCATTGCGTACTTCCAATCCCTTATCTTTCTCTGCCTCCGTAATGAAAAGAAAGGGACTGTTTTCCTCCCTGGAGTAAAAGTTGTTCATTTTCTATTGGCTATAAAAACACAGACTGCTTGTATCTTTTATCTGTGTATGTAAGAGAGAGCACGACTTACTGCAACTTTAAACATAATATACATTGTGGCTTCCTAAAGATTAATTTCACATCGATCTCAACCAAAGAATATGATGAGAAAAAGTTGTGAAAGAATTAAAAAAAGCATATTCATACATACTACTAGTAAAGTGGGAACAGAAAAATGATGAAAAATGGAACCACACCCCTTTAACTGAAAAACTATTGTGGTGAGGTGACTTTCTCCTCCACAGATAAGAGTTTCCTGAATTTGACACATCTTGTGTCATTTAGGTGGTAAATTTTGCCATATATCACTAAAAGGAAGACAGCATAAGTCACCATTTAGATTTGCATTCTAATGGAGTACAGCATTATATGGGCAAGCATCAGCTTTTATCATGTCATTGATTCAGTTCTTTAAGCATGAATGAGCTGTAAGATTATGTGTGTCCAAATAGTCAAGTACTTACATCACTTTTTCTCATTTCTTTCAGGCCTTTTGTTTTCTTTTGGAGGTTAGATCTTGGGGTGAAGCGACTGAGGACTGAGGAGTTTATGTCAGTGCTTCAGGTTTTATTAAACAATTTCCTTTTTTCCTTATGATGAGACTTTCCATAATCTCAGCTTTAAAATACATTTTATTAGATATATTAATTTCATGAGAGAGTATTTGAAAATGAGTTTGATTGATAAAATTGTGGAGTGATAGACCGTACTCTAAGAGGTGACATGTCTATTAGCAGAAACAGACCCCCCAGGTTACAGACAATGTCGTCCAATTGCAGACACACATACATACGTTGGTACCCCTCTCCTCTCCTTCAGCACAGAACAGAAAATCACAACTTTCACCAAATAATTAGAGGCAACAAAAGTAATCATGCTTTCGATGTCCATCAGCTGTGTGTAATGTGAAAAAGCTTAATTTTATGTTGGAGCCATTATAGCATTCCAACCCAACTAATACGATTTGATAGTTCTTTTTCTTTCTTGAATCTCCCTCGTTACTCGTGATCTCTCTCCCTTGTTTCACCTTCACCTTCAAAGAATTACTTTTTCAAGTTTAACTTCATTGAATAAAACTACTTTTGCTTTCAAGGTTGTTGATGAAGTAGGGAAAGCCACAGAACAAGACACTCTTGTTTGCTTCTATTCAAATATGATGATTTATATGAAAAGTTGTGAGGATCTTGTGTACCTTCTTATCTAAGGGAAACCTTAGTCATTTATAAAGAAAGTCAAACATATTTGAAGTTACAAAATTGTTTCATATTAAACAATGTATACAATACGTGAATTTTTTTCTCTTTCTCGTGAACGCCACAATCATGTTATGTAACATAATCAAGTATAATTTTTATTTTTTTAATAATCGTTCATATTTTATTAATATATATATTTTTGTAGTACAATAAATTAAATTATTAAGGTAAGTACTTCCATAGATTAATATGGTAGCGATCAAAGTTTAAATTAAACTAGTATAAGTGTGTGAAATAATTTTTAAGTGAAAATCAAATTTAAAATTTTGGGAGTTTTAATTTATTTCAGGATATATTTTGTTTATATGAGATTTATAGATACTAAAGAGAAATTGAATATTAAGATTTGAACTTATTTTAGTTTTGAGTGGGATAAGAAGAATTTAAAGTTAAAAAAAAACGTGTGATGTTATTTTAGTGAGTGAGGGATGAATTTTGTAAAGGAGAGTGCGCTGTTAGAAATTTTGATAAATTAATTTTGTTCGTAATAAATTTTTATTAATAATAAAAATTATTTTAAATATTAAAAATTTCTAATTTATAAAATAATTTTTAAATTAGTTAATATAATATCTAATTATTTTTTATTTTTAAATTAGTTTTTATTTAATAATATTCTTATAATTATTAGATGTCATTTTATATATAAATCCTCAAATCTTGACTTATAAGATAGCAACTTACAAACTAGGAGCTAACTTATAATCTAATTATGTCAAATAAACCAAAGTTAAAAACAAGTTTAGTACACAGTTATATTTTAATTCTGAAAGTGTATAATGATAATAGAACAATCTTAAAATTATGAAAACTCCCATAAGTATTTGAATAAATAATTCATTAATTACATTACTTTAATATTTAAGGTTTACGGGAAGTTATAACATTAATTAATAGGTGTTTAAAAATTAAAACAACAGGTGAATGATTATGTTCATGACCTTAGTTACAAAACTAAAAATTTATAAATTTTTTTTAATTCTTTTTAATTTCAAGAATTAAACATATAACACATTATACTTTGCAAACCAAAGTTTTCTCAAAACAAATATTGAAAATGATGTCTATTGAAAATACAAGTATGAGTCTAAGTCTCACATTAGATAGAAATGAGAAAGTAGAACGTTATATAAAGATGAAAGACTCATTAATCTATTGCTTTAAGGTTTTGGGTAGAGAATGGTGTCAATCCCTTATATGTTTGGGCTCACATCCCATTGATGTTTGTGTCTTTTTGATGAACCCCTCCTTGATAGACACAAGATCAAAAAAAATCAAGAGTGACAAAATCTTATTATCATTTAGCTTACTCTCATGGACTAATTTTGATAAAAGTATTTTTATTTTAAAATGAGCACATAATATATGTATTTACTATATTGATCCTTTCTATTATATCTCTGCTCTTTTTTTAAAATGTTTGAGCTCATATTTCATTAATGTTTTGTCTCTTCGGTAAATCCCCTCCTTGATCGACCCAACAGGATCAAGAAATCAACAATGACAAAATCTTGTTATTATTTAGCTTACTCTCATGGACTAATTTTGATAAAAGCATTTTTATTTTAAAATGAGGACATAATATATGTATTTAGTAGATTGATCCTTTCTATTATACCAAGTCTGCTCTTTTTTTAAAATGTATAAAATTTGAGAGGCCAAAATACATAAAATTAAAAAAGAAACATTTTATTTATATGGCTTGTAAAAAAAATGGAGCGACCCACAGCTTCCTAAGGCACATTGAAGTTCCGCCCTGATAAATTTTGTAAACTTATAGACAAAAAATTTGTTTATATGTTTTTAGACCAAATATTTTCAACGAATATGACATAAAATTATGAATGTTCTAAAGTAGTTTTCTAACAATGTTCGAACTATACGAGCATGGAATATCATTTTTGTTTGTACACTACTCGTTATCACCTGTAAGCTAAATGAGTCCGCATAGCATTTTTTCTTTTCTTTTTTCTTTTTTCATTTGTCTTTCATTGTTAAATGATTATATTATTCATAAGACTTAATTTAATTTTTAGTTTATAATATATTTAAGTATTTTAATTAAGTTTTTATTGATTATTTTGTTTATTGTAAAAAAAATTATATTTTTTAGTTGAATATTTGTTTGTTCAATTTTTCTATTAACTAACGAATGTAACTATTATCTTATTTCATTATTTTCATTTGTGTTACACAACGTGAGGTTTTGTTATTAATATGAAATTATATCACAGTTAATGTAAAATAACAAATTATTTTTATCAACTATCAATAGTGGTGATGGGATAGTTGATATCATGAAAGTTATTAAAGAGCATAATGTTCTCATTATCAAATACACTTTTAATTAAATCTTCCATCATTAATGCTCATGAGACTGTCTCTTGATAACATGTGATAATGTAAAAGTCGTTGAAAAACATGATAATTTTGTAATTTAATAGATTTTTAATGAAAATATGTTGTATTTCTATATTAACTGTTTTTTAACACGTGAATACAAATATACGTGATGACGAAACATAACAACAATTACATTACGCGGTTTAATGTAAAAACTAAATAGCATATACTTAATCAAAAAAATATATAAAAAAAAACTTTGAATACTAAAAAAATTAATAAAAATTTAAACTTAAAATGTAATTAAACTTTCATAAAGTGATAAATATTCCGTACAAAACTTTTGTAAATACACGTTTTTTCGTAATTTACATTCTCCTCGTTTTTATTTTATTTTATCCATCTAGTATTTTATTTTACCTCATGTGAAACCTTTATAGAGTATTTTATTCAGCAAAAAATCTTATTACACTAAT